GGAGGAGGAGGAGGAGGAGGAGGAGGTGGAGGAGGAGGAGGACGACGACGACAACGAGGAGGAGGAGGAGGAGGAGAAAGACGAAAAGGAGGAGGAGGAGGAGAGGAAAAGAGGAAGGAGGAAGATAGGAGAAGCGGAAGGAGGAGGAGGAGGAGGAGGTGGGGAAGGAGGAGGAGGAGGTGGACGAAGGGAAGGTGGATCTCCTAGCGTGGGCGGGCGATGGCGCGTGGGGTTGCGCTCGTCGATGTCGGAGTTCGGCAATGGCACCACCGAACTCCGGCGACAGCGCGCGGGGCCGCGGGCCAAGACGCGCGGGGGAGAACACCAGTGCCCCCGATTTTGAATTTGAAAATAGCCCAATCTGGGCCGTCGATCTCGCAGATCTGACGGCCTAGATTAGGCCATTTTGTTTTTCGCTTTTGGAGGCCCTACCGACCTCTAACAATGCTTCCCGCTGGCGCCCCGGCTTCGCCTGTCCCCGAAGTCCACCCCTGCGCCGTCCAAGTCCGTGTCCTAGACTCCCCCTTATTTTTTTTTTTGCTTGGACATAGTGCCCCTGGCGGACGGCCGACCGGTTGTCCGATCGGTCAATCCCGGACGGTCAGGGGGGTCCCGGACGTCCGATCAGGTAACCTAGTACTATAGGACGGGCAAACATTTAGCATGATTTAGGCATTTGGAAAACTGATCGAGTTCAGGTTTCGCAGACATGCGTGTGGGCAGCGATCGTACTTGGTCGAGCCTATACGTGCGTGCACGAGACCTGTCCTTCGGTCGGATGGGTGAAAGTTAGCTGTTCGCGGGATGAATCGTCCTATGATGAGACAAACATCTTAAACGTCTAGCATGCATATCTAGTTCATACACCGATGGGATCACACCTAACATTCATGCATTCAGTTTCATGCACACGCATACACATCAACAGAAGGAACCGAGGATCCTTATGCCACAGTTCGTTTATCAACACCACAAGGTTCGATCGCAGGCAACCGCCCAATTAGATTTATCAATTCAAAAATTAAGAGAAGGGGGAGTGGAGGAATACAGCCATACAATGGCATACATCGATCTCTGAAGAAAACAAAGGAAAAATCGGGGATGCCGATCCAGAAAGGAAAAGGGTTACTTGCGCCGAGTAAAAAAAATGTTCTGAAGGATGGAAGAAGAACCAAAATTACTCAGAAGAGCTGAAAAGAAACATCACCACAACACCTTCCCTCTCTCCCTCCCTCTCTCTCGTCACAATGTTCCGATGCGGGCAGTCCGTCGCCTCGCACCCACAGAGTTGTTACCTCGCTTAGCCCGAGCATGCAAGCTAGGTTCGCCCGTGTGCCATAGTCCGTCGCAGCCCCACGTCAACCCCGCATGCCCAGCACCAGCTCGTCGGATCACTCAACTCTCTACTCACCTTCCAAATCTTGCTCGTTACCCGATCCTCTCGACCGCGCTAACTTCCTGAATTCTTAGAGAGCGAGTTAATCGTGCTTGCAAAATTTATAGCATGCATGCGTGCGCGCGATACCCAGGATTACGTCTGAGTAGGAGGAAGAAGGAGGAAGGAAGTGCCTACGACTGCATGACCAGGCCGCGGCGTGGGGGACGTAACCTCACTCCACACATCGATCCGGTCATGCAAGCGTTCAGGCCAATAGGACAGGGGAAGAAGTACGCGCGCACAGGGATGCCACAAAAGATATCAAGAATGAGAGGATTACAGTTGCAATTATGGCCGCAAAAAAAAACAAAAATTACAGTTACACGTAAGGATTAAGGCGCGGAAAAGTGAGAGCGCAGATCCTGATGCGGCAAGACATGCGCAAGCAAGAAGCGCCGTGCGACAAAAATTGAGGTGCGCCCAAATTCCTAATCTAAATCCCAAGTGCAAAAAGAAATTTCGAACGAAGCAAATTCCGAACGAAGAAAATTTCGAGAGCCCGCAGGGCGCTCGACATCAGTTGAAAATTCAAAAAGATTTTCCCACGTGACGATCACGTCAAAATTCTCATTCCCCACAACAGAACAAGAAAGAAGCTATGTCGACAATTATCTTTCGCACTCGCTAAGGCGCGATCAGCTAACCGTCGCAAGATTACCCCGACCTCGATTCTAAAGGAAAAACAAACAAAGCAAGGGCACCCATGCAGTTCACCAGGCCATCCCGATTCAACCCCCGAGGGCCTGAAGTAGTCTTGCGCAGAAAATTGCGCAGCTGCAGAAAACAGTTTGTCACATATGTGACACCCTGGGGGTTCCAATCTTGAGCAAGCCCGTGCTTATTCTCTCCATCATCCGTCGATTTCTTAGCGATCGGCGTGGAGCTTTACCGTAAGATGAGAGTGTGGAAGTCATCCAGGTGGCATTGCGAACTCCGATCCTAGAGATTGCCTGGAAGGGTAGTCTATTAAGTCTAATGACAGGTGGGGGAGGAGGAGGATGAACTTGTGGGAGGGGTGGCAGAAAGCGGCTCCGCTCCAGTGGGGAGCCGAGCGTAATGGATGGTGCGATGTACGTGAAGGAAGTGATGATCTTGGTGAGGGAGGGAGGCGAGGTAATCGGGATGGAGGGTACTACAAAGAGTGTGAGGAATTGCAGCACAAAAATCCTAGTAATTTTTGCACGCGGGGATGATACCCAAGATTATGCGATAAATCTCTATATTGTTATATAACTTATATTTTTGCCATGCGACATTAAAGAGAAGAATGTGGAGAGGAAAAGAGGTAACAAGGGAACGGGTGGTAGCATGCGGGAAGACGGTGGCGATGAGACGGTGGAGTAGAGTTGGCGGAAGAAGGAAGGTGGGAAGGGATGCCAGACTGCCAATTGGAAGGGAACGGAGGATGACCCGCGAGCTGGTGAAGGGTGAGGTAATCAAGGCGACGGTGGCATAACGACCGGGGACGAAGCCCGAGTGCCCGCATCTCCACGTAGGCAAACGGTGGGCTTCGGTGGTGGAGAGGATTGAGCCGGCGTTGGACTTCTTCTACTGCGTCTGCTTCTGGATCCCTCTGCGATGGTGACGCCATTTCCTCCGGATTCCTCCCCCGTTTGTTCGGGGTTGCGCGCTGGATCACCTTGCAATAGCCGCACGGCTGGTTCATCCGACTCTTCCACTGACCGCTTCCCTTCTGCCTTTTCTTGCCTCCTCAGGGTTGCGGCTTTGTCTTCCTCCTCACTTCGCTCATTGGAGCTGACCGATCCGTTCGACTCACTTCCTTCCGGCTCGCCTTCCTCAGACACGCAGTAATCGGGGTCGTCCGATCCCGCCCCTGAGTTTTCTTCTTCTTCGGTTTCTTGATCTTTCTCTTCCTCTACCTCCTCATCGTCGGCTTCCTCTCCCACCTCCACTCTTCGGACGATCGGATTCCACAAGGTGAGATCGGTCACGTCAATGACGAGGTAATGACCCGAAGAGGGGTAATAACAATTGTCGTCGTCGAGCTCCGTACACGTGGACCACAATAGATGCGGTACCAACGTACGAGGGAGCGCCACTGGTGTGGACCGCTCATCGCAGCGTGAAAGGATATCCAAAGGTAGATTGTCCAAGAGTTGTGCCAAAACACCAGGACTTTGCTCGTAATTGGGTCGAGATGTCTGTCTCTCACTTTCCCGAACAGAATCCCCAACAGTTCTCCCTTCGTATCCGTTTTCCAAGCTTGGTCGATCAGCAGCTCCACCTCGTCATCGGGGACTTCGTCTTCCTCCTTTTTATCGGTCGGCTCGACCCAATGGAACACCACCTCGAGAAGGCAGAAACTGGGTGCGACGTACGAGTGCCACCACTCTGCCCACTTGCTCGCGTCCAAGATTGGCACGTCCAATTGCTTGATCCGAAAAGAGAGAGGGACGTCCGTAGCGGACTGCCAGAAGGTAGGGAGATCAGAGGGCAGCCCGAAGGTCGAGAGGCGGTGCCTGTTCATTGAGGCGGCGCGAAAGGAAGAAGCTCCGAGAGGATGATCTCCAGCGTAGCAGGAGATAGTCTGATTTAGCTGAGATGTCGTCGTTTGTGGAAACGATCCGATCGACTGATGGAGCTAACAACTGGGCTCACGCGGCCGTGAGATCCCGTGCCTAGAGTCGCAACTGCCGGAGGATACCCGTATGGGTCGATGGATGCAACACCGTAAGATCGCCAGTGAAGGCAACGATTACTTTCACGTGGCTGACGCCTGGTGGAGACAGCCGCAGAAAAGCCGACACCTCAGCCAACACTCGCATCCGATTGCTGGTTCGCGCAAACCGAAATTTCGTCGCCGCGTGGATGACCGTCGTACTGAAGAAAGCCGCGAATCGAAGCAGATCTGGACTTAATCGTGGCTGCTGCACCTGTCAGATTGACGAAATATTCCCCCGGGATCTCATTAGACGCTCGCTGATGACCTACTCGGTACAAAAGCTCATGGAGATGAGGGAGGAGGTAGGGATGAAGGCTGAGAGGAAGGAGAATCAGAGTATTCGAGTTCGAGATCGTCGTCTTCCTCCTTAGAATCGAAGGACGATGTAGACGATGGGGGAGAAAGGAAAGGAGATAAGGGACGAAGATAGGACACATGTCGGATGATTGGCCGGGCCGATCATATTCCTTAGACCTCTGGCGCAAGACGCACCGTATTCACCCCGCTAGGACCGAGCTCGACTACGTGAAATCGCCTGAAGAATCGTGGCGCTAACTTGCCCTGGCGAGCACATTTCCTTACCTGCACTATGTCCCCTAATTTATATTGGGGTTGAGGCCCAACGTTCACATTTCGGGTCTCATAGCTCGGACCTGTCATCCGTGGGCCATTTCGGTCATCCGCTGTCTTTTTCAGGCTAAATTGTGGAGGGTTTTTTCCATTAATTCTAAGTGGCGTTGAGCTTTGTCCTTGACCATTGCCCTCGTGGCTCGTTGCACAATTGTCGTTTCGTCGTTCAGGCTTGGTAGAGCTACGCAGGTCAGGCTATTGGTCCGTAACTGAAAAGGGGTCAGGCCAATGGACTCATGGGGTGTCCCTCGGTGGATAGCTAAGATATGGTCTAGGATATTGGTCCAAGGCCTCGTGTCCCGTGCCACGATATTTCATCGCAGAGCTGTCTTAATCACCCGGTTCGCATTCTCTACCAGTCCATTTGATTGCGACATATGGGGGGCCGTATTACGAATAGAGACGCGATGCACGACTAGGCTCCTTCAGACTTCTCCTCGGAATTCTGCCCCATTGTCCGTGAGGATTTCCTCGGTGTCCTGATGCATTCCGAGGAAGTGGTGGACATACCACACAATTTCCGTCGTCTGTCGCGTTTTACAGGGGTAGGTTTCGATCCATTTCGAGAAATGATCCACGAATAGCAGAAGAACTGAATATTCGCAGCTATTCGGTCCAAGGGGCACGCCAATATTTGTCGTGTCCATGCTAACCATTTGGAACGACCGCTGGACTACACCGTCACTACAGTAGGCATTATCGACCTAGGCGGATGAATCGACGCCTTATCTATCGCGCAGATCGGACAATTTTTAACGACGAATTTAGCATCATCCCGGATATTGGACCAATACCATTCATTTTTGTCAAACTGAGCGGTGGTTTCTTCGTGGGACCCGTGTCCTCTCGTAAGCTCGCCTCCAATCTTCCTTGGTGAATTCTCGAGGGGTTCCTGACCACCGTGGCTATCAGAACGACATCTGTCCGTACTTCTGCCCGTCGAAATTTGCGTATCTTTTCCAACCCCTCGGACGTGGCCTAGAGGAATCGCGCTTCCGTCGGGATTTTGTCGGTTCGACACAGAGGACATAACCAGGCTTTATCTGTGTTCCTGTATTGTATACAAGAACCATGGGCCCGGGAGACACACCGTCCCTAGTCTGCCCACTCGACATACCCTTCGCCACTAGGATGCATAGGAACCGAATAAACTCGCGATATCGCTTTGCAAAAATAACAAAATTTGTCAGACAAGGAGAGAAGAGAAGAAGATGAGAGGGGAGAAAGGGGTCCTCTAGAGTTACCTTCTCCTCCCATCGCCATTGTGTCCACGTGTCACTTTCTGGAAGCTCAGGGGAGAATGGCCACTCCGCCGTACTAAGGTTCCTTGACTGGCTCCGACTCTTTCCACGAAGTGATCTCTTCACCTTTGACCACCTTGCTTGGTCGATGCAGTCGAGTCAACCCGTCTGCGTTCTCGTGCTTTTCCGTCTTCCGATGAATGATGTCAAAGTCGTATTCCTATAGCTGGACAACCCATCGCCCAATCATGCTCGCATAGTCGGTGAACCTCTTGAGAGCCAGCAGCCTGGCAACAGGGGCTCGTGATCTGTGACGAGAAGGAACTTCTGCCCGTATAAATACGGATGGAAGTGCTAAATTCCCCAGGCAACCGCGTAGCACTCACCTTGAGGGGCCGAATCGTTCCTTCTTTCATAAGGTACAGTTCGCGAGGCGTATTCAATGACGTGCTTGTGGTTGACCTTCCCCTTCTGGCCAAAATATTGGAGATCGCCTCGAGCTGCAAGTCTGTAATGACGATGAATTGCTTACCAGGATCGGACCGAATCAAAATAGGTGCGGAGGCGAGGGCCTTTTTTAAAGCGACAAAGGCCTTTTCGCAGTCTGCGTTCCACTTCAATGGCTGGTCTTTTCGTAGGAGGTTTGTTAGAGGTCGAGCAATCGTCGTGAACCCCTTGATAAACCTCTGGTAGTACGACGCCAACCCCATAAAGACTCGAACCTGTGTCAGCAACGTAGGCGTGGGAGCTTCTCGAACCGCTTCGACTTTTCTCGAATCTGGCCTTAAGCCTCCTCGGGTCACCACGTACCCCAGGAACGAGATCTCTGAAAGGAAGAACTCATTCTTCTCCAACGCAATCTTGAACCCAACATCTCGCAACGCTCCGAGCGTCCACTCAATGTGCTGAACATGCCCGTGAAACGATTCAGAATACACCAAGATATCGTCCATATACACAATGACGCAGAAGTTGATCATTCCCTGGGTCAGTCGGGTCTTGTTGACAAATTTTTGAAAGGTGATGTTCATCGCTCTCTGAAAGGTAGCCGGCGCATTGCATATCCCCATAGGGCAACGAACCCACTGCCAAGTGCCTTCGAACCAGGGTTGTCACCCGAGGACCCCCGGGGGCAAAGCCGGGGCCGAGATTTCACCCCCGGACCTACTTCCGCAGGGGCGATGACCCCCGGTCCTCGCTGAAGACCCCCGCGCACGCCCGACCCCCGGCACCCCCGCGGGACCCCGGCCCCAGCACCCAGCACCCCGGCCCCGGCTCCGGCCCTGGGACCCCCG